GTATTTGGGAAGAGGAAGTGGACTGGCAAGTGGAGGAGGGTAAAGAAGACAGTAATAGGGAGTGAACATGCTCAGGGTCCGTAACAAAAATGCCATCACAAGAGCCATCACTTTGAAAACTGATAAAAGTAAAATAAAAAGCCAAGGAGGCTATTTTCCCACATTCACACAGGAAGCCAAGGCTTCCAGCACTTGGGGACTAAAGGACAAAGGTACTAGTTGTGGCTTTCAAAATCCCTGGACAATGGCCTACACACAGCCACCCTAGTCAGGTCCATGCTGCAATCCAAATGCCAGTCTTCCAGGGACAGCACAGGCCACCCTCCTGGGAACGGAAGCAGCCACCACTTGGTTTTCTGCTTCATAAGCTCAGGATCCATACATAAACAGAAACACAGCTCAGCTGAGAGAAGGGTCAGGGAGAAGCTTTTGTTCAGGGAATCGAGAGTCCATTCTGATGGGTGAAATCATGTGATGTTGACAGTCGCACAAGGAGCTGGGGGATGGGGTAGGGGACAAGAGAGGGTTGACGGGAGGGACAGAGATGGAGGATAGGAACAGAACAGGACCAAGGGCTGCGTTTGAGGGGCAGCAGACTCACAGACTTCTTAGTTGGGTAAAGGTGGCAGCTCCCTCCCACAGCGCATGCTTTCCTCGGAAGAGTCCCAAACCTAGTGGGTATGAGAGAGAAGTGAGGTTCCAACTGAGGGGTCTGAGATGCCCTGTGGAGAGGAGACAGGGCTGGTCCAGGCATCCCTGTGTCCTTCCATCACATACTTATAATCAAATATTATCTCCTAAGTTTAAGCCATTTAAAGTTTCCTATTGTTTTACTTACTAACTTGAAATGCAACCCCTTGGTGTTTTACTACTCAGTGATGTTTATTCTTTGATGTTTACTACCCTGAGATGTTTCATTACTCTTTAATACTTCAAGCTTTAGGATGTTTTCCAGCTAACTATGCCAAACTACAGATAAAGATGGAAAACTAAGAAAATGGAGAGCTTATCACATGGTCTAATGAGACAGCTAGTCCAGTTATTCTGATAGAAGTGTAGATCAAATGCAACAAATATCTAAATTTCTGCCTGTGATATCTGTTTTTTGTAAACTGTAATGACTGTTTGACCAACTGTAATGGTTTGAATGGGAATGTCCCCCATAGGCTCCAAGTATTTGGACATTTTGTCCCCAGTTGGTGGTGCTGTTTTGTGAGGTCTTAGAAGGTGTGGCCATGCTGGAGGAAGCACATCACTGGGGGCCGGCCTACAGAGTTCTTAAGCCTTGCTGGATCTCAAGTTGCTCTTGTTTCCTGTGCCTGCTTGAAGATGTGAGAGCTTAGCTTCTGCTCCTCCTCCAGCAATCTCTGTTGCCATTAAGCTCAAATAACCTTCTATTAAGTTGCTTTGGTCAGGGTTTCTATCACAGCAACAGAAAGTAACTAATACAGCAACTCTTAGCCTAATTAGCCTGGCCTAGCAATAGATCAAAAGGCAGCAGGTGTCCTGACCAGGTGTCCTGGAACATCTACTTTGTAAACTATGATGACCAGGCAAACTCAGGAAGGAATTTTCCTGAGAGAACATGGTGTATCATTGAAAACAGCCATACAGTCCAAGTGGCAACCATAAAACGAGATCCTATATAACCCCACTTGTACTTTGCTCAGAGCTCAGAAATCCTGAAGCCCTTGTTGCTAATTCTGGTACCATGTGCACGTGAAAAATAAATGAGCTGTTTCTCTCCTGGGTGACTTAATCTCTTAGCTGTTCAAAGAATTTTTCTGTAACTGGACCTGTGTGCTTACAAAAGGCTGAAGTTGTGCAGCGGCTCTCTTTATTGGTCCACACACTACGATGACCTGAGAGGAGATCAGGAGCAAGGCAGTGCCTCTGACTTTGCAAAACCCAGAAACCATGGTTGTGCCTGCTCCATGGAGCTGCTGAGACTGTAAACCTAAAAAGAAAGACCTCCACTTAGCAGCCTGCCTGCTCACTTCCTTCATCACCTTCTTCTGGTGTCGACTTGCTACCGTGATCTCTTAACAACACAGATTCCTGGACCAAGATCCTCAGATACAGCCCTGGGAGCTGGCAAGGAGCAGCCTGTCTGCTTCACCTGAGAAGCTCCCATTTGCTTTAGAGTAGTTTGGAGAAGGGCTGAGGCTGGAGAGGCTGCACTGGAATCAGACTGCAGACCTAAGACTAGTTCATCTGATATAGAAAAGATGGTCACTACACTTGGAAGACTAATCTGTGAGAACTGCCTGGAGACAGGGACCAGTCAGGGCAGCAGGCAGGGCCCCAACCTTATCCCATGGCATGCCTGTCACCCAATCACAGCTCCTTGTGGAGTGCATGGCACAGCTCTGAGTTAGGAATGGAGAAAAAGTTGTTGATGGCTCCTTCCCCTCTATTTCTTTTTAAAAATTAAAAGCATTCCTGATAGTGGCTCACACCTATAATCCCAACACTTGGGAGGCAGAAGCAAGAGAACCGACACAAGTTGGAGGCCAGCCTGGGCTATATAGTGATTTCCAGGTTAGCCTGTGTTGCATAAGTGAGGGTTTGTCTCAACAAAACAAAACAAAACAATACAAAAGCACAAGGAAAAAAACACAAAGAAAAGCCAGACACGGTGGTAAACACCTGTAATTCCAGCAGCTGGGAGGCAAAGGCAGGAACACTGCTGCAAGCTCTAACCCAGCTTAGTAAAGACCTCACTTCAAAACCAAAATAACCTTTCTCCTTCCCACAAACACACTAGAAAGCAAAGCGTTAGTACTGTAGTGTTGTCACAGGCATCAGTGCTCAAACACCTAGGAGCATGGCAGACTCCATCACCTGCCGCCCTACCCCCAGCATCTCTGGAAGCCATGGTCGTACTCATAGCAGATGTGTATGAGGACACTTCTTAGCACAGTTTCACAACAGCAACTGTGCCCCACCCCATACTAACAGCAGGCTCCAGCAAACTGCAATGCATCCGTCAATGGGAACTGTGAGTATAAAGATAGCATAATCTCATTTGTGGGAAAATGGCAAAATGCAAAAGTTGGCCTTTGCTCAGAAGTAAAATGTATTCATTCTAAAGGGTGAAAGGAGACAGGGCAGGTGCTTCTGGCTGTGTTCCAGCATGCTACAAGTATTTCTATTATTAAAAAGATGGCCCTATCTGCCTCTAACATGGCTAGTTCAAACTCAAGGTGTCTAGGGCACCCTAGGTCAATCACAACACAAATCAACAGAGAATATTTTTGGAATCCCTATTTATTTTTGCCTCAAATAACTAAATGCTTGAGATTATAGTTTCCAGGTTCCTCAGGCACCCTATATTGCCACCTCAGTAACCAACAGGCACTGTCCACTTTAGTCATGCCCTGCACTACACATACCACTTTCTAGACAGTCATCACCACTAACAGGACACCTGGTTCAGAGTGCCACATTCCCTCAATCCAACTAATGTTCATTTGTGGCGGGGCTTAGGACTAGGGTCTCACTTCACCTGACCCACATTCAGGGTACTTGCCATGGGGGTGGGTGTCTGGCTTGCATCTGTGCTGTCTCACTGCCTGCAAGCTTGCTTTCTGGTTGGCCAACGGGTCCTATGGTAAAGGATCCTGACAACCATAAAGCAATGAAGCCCAGAACGAAGCCCCCACTCCTGAGATGACCAGGTGACTAGCTCAATTCCTTTAGGCAAGCGTGTGATTTCTGAAAGGAATCCACTGCTACAGACGGGATCCTGAGTGCCCACAAAGATCTTTGTGCTAAAAGCATGGTCTCTGGGTAGTGCTACCTGGAAGTGGTAGAACCTTTAAAATTAGGTCACTGGGGTATGTCTTTGAAGGGGACTGTTGGCCCCTTGCCCCTTGGGAACCCTGAGGTGACTACCCTCCTCCACCACATGCCCACTATGAGGTACTGTGTCACCACAGGCCTAATGTGACAGGGCTAAGCCATCATGGGCAGAAACCCCTGAAACCACGAGCCAAAACAGTCTTATCACAGAAATGCAAAGCTAGCATACCTACCAAGAGAATCCATACCAATGTCAGGCTCTCTAATGGTTTTTCTCCCTTTGAAGGTCTTCCAACCCTTGACTGAAGAGAGAGGCCTCTTCACCAGGGATACTCAACAGCCTTTGGAAAAGAGTTAGGTGTAATTCTGACAGACAAGCACACAGAAATTTCCTTTTGTACTTTATCGGTTCTTGTAAAAGACCCAGAGATGCCTTCAAAACTGCTCCCTCAAGGGACCCTGTCTCAAAAAACGAAAAAAAAAAAAAACACCCAAAACCAAAACCAAACAACAGAAAAAAGGTAAAGCCAGGCATGGTGGGGCATGTAATTCCAGCACTCTGGAGGCAGACAGGTGGATCTCTGTGAGATGGAAGCCAAGTCTGGTCCACATAGGGAGTTCCAGGACAGCTGTGGCTATAATAGGGAGACTGTCTTTAAAAAAACAAACAACAAAAAATCCTGCTCCCTTTACTGGATTCCACACAATGGTCTACTTCCTAACATGTCAATAACTATTCTAATGTAGTGGATGAGACAGACAGAGGCTGTAGTCAATGTGAAAACTGCTACTGCATTGTCCTTTCAAAAACCTTTTTCTTTCCAAATCTTATCTCCAAAATCTCGACTTGGGGGCTGGAGAGATGGCTCAGCAGTTAAGAGCACAGACTGCCCTTACAGAGGACACAGGTTCAATTCCCTGCACCCTTATGGTGGCTAAAAATCATCCGTATCTACAGTTCCAGGGGATGCAATATTCTCTTCTGACCTCCGAGGGCATTGTATGACATAGGTGCACTTACATACGTGCAAGCAATACACTCATACACATTTTATATATATATAATTTAAAACATTTCTTGACTTGATTTCCAAGGTAAACAAGGCATTAAATCAATGGCCAGGATTTTCAAATCTAAAAAGCAAACACATGCAGACAGTGAATGTATCAAAGAAGATCAAGTGGCACATTTTGTCAGTAAGAAAAATAATGAGTTTAATAATTACAAGAATGTAGCACACAGATTGTAGTGGTCAACACCAGTGTTGCCCGCCAAGTCTGGGCTTCCCGTGGAGCCAGCGCCCTAGGCATCCCGAGGAAGTGGGATGATTGGCATGGAGGCGTACACAGGCGCGGCAGGCATTCTGGGCCCAAGCCTGAGGACAGCAGACAGGAGAGTACAATGGAGCTTCAGCTGCTGCTGAACATGGTTGAGAATGGGAAGTGCTTCACATCTACAGGATAGGAAACGGCTTTGTCTCCTCATTCCTCAGAGAGCAGAGAAGTAACCCTTGGTGAATGGTGCCCCTGCATCATTGGTATAAAAGCCCTATCCTCAAGAGATGTGCTGAGAGAGACATGGGTCTGTACGGCAGGGTGGGTTTTTAAAAAGAATCTCAAGCCAGATGTGGTCATGTACACCTTTAATCCCAGCACTCAGGAAGCAGAGGCAGGCAGATCCATCCTGTGAGAGCAAGGCCAGCCTGGTCAAGTTCTAGGCCAGCTGGGGTTACAGGGAGACCCTGTTTCAAACACCCCTCCCCCCACAACAAAATGAATCAATCTCACAGATCCTTGCTCGCTCTCTGGAGAGCCTGGGAAGATGCTGGATCCACAGAAAGAAAAGGCAACATGTCAAAACACAACCTCTGGTCACCCTGTCTGGGAAAGGGATGTTAGAAATGTGAGTATTGTTATAAAATACTCCAAGCATATCATTAAGGCAGGTCTATAAGAGATCGTCCTGGGCATGGACGGCGACATCAGCAGTGGTTAAGAACCATCTTCGTTTACTCTTGCTGGAGGAGGTGCAGCAACCCCAGCCACCTGTCGCCAGTGGTGGAGAGATTCGAGGAGAGTTGTTCCTGAGTTAAAATCTGCTGTGACAGCAAACGCACTTAACTCTTAACTGTTCTGCTGCTATGTCTCATGGATCACCAAAATGCTTGTAAAAACAGGGCTTACAAAATAGAACAAAAACACCTGATCTTTTCTTATCCTAGCACAAATGGGTAAAATGCTAACAGGAGTTAGAGTCTAGCGAGTGATCTAAATGAAGCCGGGTAAACTGGGGAGTCCTGACAGACCTGTGCCTGGTCCTGGCAGGAAACCAGCAGGGGCCAGAGACTGGAATCAGCTAGAGTGTGAAGGAAGAACAGAACACAAAGTGCCTCCAGACGCCCCACTCAAAAACCTCCCACGCCGTTATGTCTGAGGGCAGAGGTTGTCCTGAGGCACCTGCAACGGTGCTGCCACTTGAGTCTTAAAGACTTAACACTTCTCTATGGAAAAGTTTCTCTGGCTTCAAAACTGACCTCTAAGCTCCTGAGGTCATTATTACTTATTGCCAAAGCAAAAGGAAGCCCTAGACCCATGGACAGGTCTCTAGGCCTGGCCCCACTAACAGGGCTGTAACCCAGGCCACTGGCCTCTCGGAGCCCACCTGAGCCCAGAGGGGCAGCAGAGTAGGGTGGGGCATGGCAGGGGTGCTCCTCATTCTGGGCTTTCACTGTTCAACTGAACTTCAGGTATGTATTGCTTTATTTTTTATCACAGAGGGGAAAGAGGGGTTTCAGTGACCCAAACAGTGCTGGCAATAGCCAGTGGCAAAGCAGAGCTCATGGCTGAAATCACTCCCTGGCAGCATAGGCTCGCGCACCACTGTGCTCACTGGCTGTAGAATATGTAATAAATAATCCATCTATGTACAGGGTCTAGTTCTCTCGAGGGAGGACCAAACTACACTCTGTCAGGTTTCTAAATGAGCCTCTGTAGGCAAGGCTGACCCACTTCTCCACCCTGTGATACACTTCTGTAACAAAAGATTCCATCCAGACAGGGCAGCAGGAGCGAGCATCACAGGCAGATGGTGATGTTGAGTTCCTGGAATTCAGGCTGAGTCTTACCCAGCTACTACGATGCCCTGGGCATGGTCACAGGTCTCAGACTGGAATACTGCAGTAAGAGAAGACTGGTAACACAAGTTCAATGTGCTCAAGTAGGGCACTGTTGACAGCACCTTGGAGCCCCCGCTGTGCAGAATGAGGCAGACAGATGCCCAGGCAGCTCTCCACCAGGGAGCAGGCAGCTGCTACCAAAGCTGCACAGACACCTACTTCAAGTCCCCGTGGCCAGAAAGGTTGGTAAGAAAGAAATCCTAGAAGAGGGTGAGCCCAGCCACAATCTCAGGTGTGTGTTCAGAATGCAGTATTTACAAGAAGTACATGTATACGGTATTTATATATTCATTTAGAAGTCCGAAAGCCAGGACTTTGGTCAGTCACTGCAGAATGAGGTCAGAGATGTCAGGAGAGGGACAGTGCACAGCCTGGTCCTCAGTGTTTATACCTCACGTGTGGCCGCTTCAGCAATGGCCTGATCACTGCCATTTGCCTGATGAAGACCACTTTCCTCAGTCTTGAATGTCACCCTGCTTGAGGCCAAGGGCCCTGGCCTGGTCTGGGAATTGCTGGTCTTCAGCCTGTGAGAATGAGGTCACCCTATAGATTGGTCTCATCCCAAGCAGGGTCGTTCATGTTCTTCAGAACCTTCCTCACCAGCTTCTCCAGGTCCTTGCGGGCCCTCTGCTCCTCCTCTAAGGACTTCTTCATCTTCTTGTTATCCTAGAAAACAACAGACCACAACATGTTCACTACCTTGGCACTGAAAGCATTCTTCTCCTGAAGGGGGGCTGGGTGGAAAGGGGCGTGGGCAAAGCTGAGAGTGTGAATAGGCACTGGGATGCTCTGGTCAGCTCCCATCATAAATAAGAGAATCTTGATAAAACACAATAGAAGAAATAGGCTGGAAACTGATAGGAACTATCACTATCTGACCAACTGCTGGCATTCTTAAGTTCCCTGTCCAGTCAAATGTGGAGTGGAGGCAACAGCAACTGAATGCGCCAGAAATGGAAGGTGTGCTGCCCTGCGAGAAGCCCTGCAGAGGGAGGGGAGCCATGGGACACTGCTCCACCATGTGCCAGGCCCAGTCAGGTACTTCACCCTCAGAACATACCTGTCTATCCCTATAAGCCTTAAGCACCTCCGATCACCCTTCAAATCTGCCTACCAGCTGTTGAACATATCACATAATGAGGCCAGCAAGATGGTCAGCAAATAAAGGCACTTGCCAAGCAAACCTGGTGATGTGAGTTTGGTCCCAAGAACCCTTGTAAAGATGGAACGAGAGAACTGACTCCACAAAGTTGTCCTCTGACCTTCAGAGGGGCAATGGCATCACGTACTCACAAAATAATACAATAAAGTTTTTTTAGAAATCACATACATGCACACCTGGCTGGATCTCTTGCTGCTCTGTCCTGGTTTCTGACATACACAGACAATTCTGTGGCAAACTAACTAGGGGTACCCAGAATGGTACTATTATGGAGAGCACTGTAGATTATCCACTCAAAATCTGGGTTTAAAAAGTTCAAACAAGCTACTTTAAAGAAGCACTTCCTGGCCTGTCACACTTAAGTCAATGGCTTTATGATATATATATATATGGGTGTGTGTGTGTGTGTGTGTGTGTGTGTGTGTGTGTGTGTGTGTGTGTGTCTTTTTGAGATAGGGTCTCCCTACAGCCACAGCTGGCCTGGAACTCACTATGTAGACCAGGCTGGCCTTGAACTCAGAGATCCCCCTGCCTCTGCCTCCTAAGTGCTGGGACTACAGGCATATGCTACCACACCTGGCTCCCTTTTATATTTTTATGCTTATGGACAATGAGTTTCGTGTTTGATACGGTATTTTCCCTTTTTTCTCCCATTAAAAAAACCTGATTAGTAATAAAAACTGGTTGGCACACCTGTCTTAACTCTTGGACTTCATCCTTTAATGCATACACAGTATCCACGAGGCTCCTGGAACAGGAAACAGAACAAGCACATGAATAGGAGGTGGAGCCTCCAGGGCTACCTGGGGTAGCAGAGGAACTGTCTACTCACTCACCTCGTCTAAATTCCTAACTTCAGAGTAGCCCACCTGTGGGTACCTCAGGCTACACCGTAGCCTAGCCCATCACCCTCCTGTAATGCCACACCCCAGCCCTGTACTGCCCACTAAGGGGCAAAGGCCCGCCTTAACAGAGTGGAAGACATCTTACTTTTCTTCTATCACTGTCTGACCGTTACTTTTAGTTTCTTCAACGATAATTTTCTCTTCTTCTGGAAGCAAAACTTGTGGCGCAGATTCTTTGCGTGAACCTAGGATTGTTAAAAAAGAAAAACTCATGTGACTGCTATAGCAGAACTAAGGAAGGGAAGCTACTCAACTACATAGCATCATTTATACATAAAACTCTAGTGACTGTGATTAAAATAATTCCTCAAGACAGACTAGAATGGGCACTTGTGGCCAGTTTTCTCTACTTCTGTCTGCTGAGTGTGGTCTTTATGTCCAACCAAAGCATTACAGAGGAAAGGAAACAATAGCCTGTTTGCAACTTATTAAATTCTTTCAAACATGAATATTCAACAGCAAGTGAATTAAAGGTCTGACCCCACTGCCCCGTTATACTTAACCCAAATTTAAACCTTTATATTATTCCAAGTACTTTAGAAAGACACACAAGACTGTGTAGAACATGCACTGTGTTCATAAATTTAAAAATTCAGCAATTAGAAAAAAACTTATGTCTACAACAACATCTAAAAATGATAATGACACTAACACATGAGTTAGAAAAAGTGAAATTTATTATTGGCTTATTTTGTGAAAGTTTTATTCTCCGTTCCCTAAAATAAACACTTTTCTAAATGAGAGTCAGCACACTGTCCATAATGCCATTGGCACACTGACACCACTGAACCAGGCCTAGCACACACACCGGCACATGACGCACCTTCCGCACTTCAGAGGGCGACTGTGACATCCAGAGATTCATCTTAAAGGGGGAAGACTCAAGGAAGAAAAGATTTTCTTCAAGATTATACAATGTAGTAACATTTATTTGATTTGGAGACACCAGAGACAAACTGGAGAAGGACAAGCTCTACTGCAGAATGCAGGCAGCCTCAGCAGGGGCTGTGCTCTCCTGAACACACTATGAGCTAAGCTGACTGACTGCAAAGGGAGGCTAACTTGTTTCTAGGGTATCCTTTGTGGGTCTTCCTGAAAATATGCCAGATTACAAGGAGAGTATTTGCTGCACACCCTGGTTGTCATGGAAACTCTAGAATAATACAAGTGTTTGGAAGACAGAGGTGTAAAGAGCAGATTTGCAGACATTTTACCCTAAGCATGTGCATTTCTGAACAGAAAAAGATTAGCCGCTGTTGTCGAAGCTGATGGCAAGGGCTCATGAAATGTCCCAGGAATGCAGTTGTTGCACCAGGGCAACTATGGAGCCTGGCGGATTGTAGCCTCAGGTACATGTCCCCAGGTCACCCTCTATCTGCCAGGCTGCTACATTGGAGGGTGCTGGGCCTAAGCCCAAAAGGTAGGGGCTGTACAGACCTTGGGGAGCGAGATCTATGTCATACAATGCAAGCATCAGGAGAGTCATGCTTTACGTCAGTGGAAAGGGGCTGTGTACAGTGAGAGCACACCAGTCTTCTACCCCATGTGAGCACTTAGGATGTAGTCAAAGCTGTAGCGAGCAGGTGCACATTCACATTACTCTGAAAGACTATCCTGAACATGGCCCTCCCACGCTGGGAAGGGGCAGCATCCACAGGTTGTGATGAGGCCACACCACTCATCTTTCCCTCAGTGCCCCATGTCTCAAGGATGGTGGGCTTTAAGTTATAGGTCCTAGAGAGGACCATGTTTTAAAAAGCCATCACTAGGCTGAGGATGCCAGCCTTGCAGGAGGGACCAGGAGACAGACAGATGACTCTTTTAGATGACCTCATCAATTGGCAGGAGCCCACCCAAAGATTCCTTTCTTGTCAAGCACAGAAAATGGATGGACTATGTGGATCAGGGAAACATGAAAGGGCAGGGCATGGGTCCAGCCAGGTGAGTATTCACCTGTGCTGGTGCAGTCTGTCTTTAGAAGAAAAACTTAGTGCATGTGCTATTTTCCCAGAAAATGTAGGAAAGGATTCCAAAGATTCTGGTGTTTAAACAGCTAGACCCAAGCTCCCCTATGGGAAGAGGCAGCCTGGGTCAGTTTCCATTTTCCCACTGCTCTCTAGGGCCTGTCTTGCTTAGGCTTTGACAGCTGGGGACTATGGCAGTATCAAATTAAAAAGATAGTCGCCATGGTGAACACATTGCATTGAAACTTCAAAGCCCTTCAAGGGCACCAGCAAGAGAAACCAGCTGAGCCTGGAGAACTACACCCAGAAGATGGGTGTGCACATTCTCAGTTCTTTCAGTCATTTCTGGCTTCCTGGACAGTCTGTTTCCAGGAAGAAAGCTTCCAAACTACTAAGACAGAGTCACTACAGAGAAAGGAAGCGTGTGGCAGCTTTATCAGTCTCACCAAGGATACACCCGGAGGTCACCCTTCAGCTAACCAACGAGTGTCCACTGGAGACTTGTTCAAGACAATCTGTAGAGCTGTTCTGAGTTAAACAACCATCCCTTGCCAAATAATTCATAAGTAAAAGCTTTGAATTCCATTAAGTAACACAACTGATTTGAAGAACTAAAGCTCTAAGACCTGGCTATCAGCTAAAAACACATGACAAGGGTCTTGCATGTACAACTGCTGTATACTCAAAGCACCCAAGAATTCCAAGTATGAGACTGTGTCCCCGACAGAAGATACTAATCACTCCAGTTCTGAAACAGCAATGTGAAAATACCACTGAAAGTTCAATGAGCCAAGGGGCTTGTAACTGAGGGTTAGCAGTGTACATGGAAGAAAGTTTTCAATATTGATCCCACACCTCATTTCAATACAATACAACATGTATTTCTTTTAAAATGTTTTTTTTTTTTTTTTTTGGTCTTTTTGAAACAGGGTCTCCCTGTAGCCCCAGCTGTCCTGGAACTATGTGGACCAGGCTGGCCTTAAACTCACAGAAATCTGCCTGCCTCTGCCTCCTGAGTGCTGGGATTAAAGGCATACGCCCAGCTAAAATGGGTTTTTTTAATGTGTAGCTTTTCAACAAACAATAAAGGGCCAGGTTAGTTGGCTGTATCTTGAGGAACAAAAGTTTTCTAAAACAGACAAGTTATCTCTGAAATTATGAAAGCATTTTAGATACTTTAGCACAGATTTCCTGAATAGCTACACTAGAAAAAGTATGTAACCACAGAACCAGAGAATGTTCTAGTAACAGGAGCTCAGTCACAGTAACACAGCGTGACAGCTCTGGATGGTGCAGACTGTGTCTCTGCAAACTTTGGTCTTCGAGGAGATAAAGATGCTTCTGCTGCATGCCGTTTCTGTGACACATGCAGCAATTCTTGGAGATTCAGAGCATCTCGAGAACATCAAAGGTTTGGGGAAGGTTTGCCATAAAAATATCCGTTTTGCTGTAATTCAGTCCATCCAAACTTCATCTGAACAGCAGACTCTTATTTCAGCATCAATATCAACATCATCTGATAGTCTCAGTAACAGTGTGAGAAGTGCCAGGTTGGTTCACAGCCCCTCCCCCAAACTACCAGCCCTGCCCTTGTTATTACTGTTTCTGTGTGGAGGCGGAATAAGAAACATACAATTACAACGGAAAATAGCTTATCCTCAACACCAACCCAGCATTTCTCAAACTGGAACCTCAAGGAACACACCTGCAGGTATGTATTATCACCCTCAAGTCCTGAAACAAGCTGAGACAATTCCACAAGGCCACTCTTGGAGGCACTTGCGTGGCACAGCTGGGAATGCTAGCAGGCTCTGGGTCCCAAAGGCAACACCCAGCCACTCACAGATGTGATCTGAAGATTGGGGACATGTCACAGTAACAGGAACATAAGAGTCAGGTGCCAGTGGTCTCAGAATCCTGCCCCATTTGTCAAAAAGGACCAGGCTGTGGACCTCAGTTTGAGAAACACAGATCTAATCAAAGAATCCCATTTCAGAGGAGACCCAGGCTGACCTTTATGCCCAGGTCTCTCTCCATCCTGCTCACTCCTGTCTAGGGCCGTCGTGATAACACACAGCTGTGACTCAGGAACAAGAGCGTTGATGGTCCAACCTCTGGCCTGGATAAGGTGTGAATTTGTGGGCATGCACGTGTGTGTCTGCCTGTACCCAAGACCAAGAAGAGCATCAGTCCATCTGGCCAGTGGCCTGACACATTCATGACATTGCTTCTTAAATGAGTGACCTTTCTAAGGCTGCATCAATTACACTCAACTGACCCAACTTCCAAGAGGGAACAAAGCATCATACTTAAAAAAAAAAAAAAAAAAAAAAATCTCTTCAATAGCATCCAAGTCACACAGTCTACATGGTTTGAGGCTCTGAGATTTGAATTCAGATCTCTACCCTAGGAAAGGCAGGGCACATCTTCTCTGAGCACTCTCAACCTTTGCTTATTGCCTACTTGTGCTGGCCACATCTGTCACCAGATGCATCTTTTTCTTGCTTCATGCTTTCTCTTCTGAACTGAGCATGCACTTTATAAAACAAAAAAGAAAATGCTGACCCTAGTCTAAATAAAAAACTTGAAAAGCCAATTGTTTTTTTTCACTTATACATACTCAGGTCTTTTGCAAGAGCAGCTGGTGCTCTTAACTGATGAATCATCTCTCCAGCCCCAAACTCAGCCAAGCATGGTGGCGCACGTCTTTGATCCCAGCACTCAGGAGGCAGAGGCAGGTGGATCTCTATGAGTTCAGGGCCAGCCTGGTCTACATAGCAAGTTCTAGGTTAGCCAGGGCAACACAGTGAGACTGTATCTCTAAATAAAGTAAATTTTAAAAAGGAGTGACCTTGAATTGTTTAGAAGAGACCTGATCTAAGAAAGTGCCAGTAATCTATCAAGGCAGGTAGAAGTCTTGCCACATCTGAAAAGAACAGCCACATCACACACAACTTCAAACTAAGCTATTCCCCTCCCCGGTGTAACAAATCTTAAAAGCCAAGGGCTAGCAAATGCAAAATTTATTTCAACTGTACATAACAGATGTCTTTTCATATAAAACAAACACTTCATTGCCATATGCAGCACAAACAATACGCACACTGTACAGTACAATGCAACATTCAGATATACATCCAATTCAATTTCAAATGGTAGTCTTGTACTAAAAATGGCTTTTCCCATTCACAGATAAAGAGCACAATATATAGACTTTTCTCCCCCAAGATCTTATACCACTATATACACATTATTGTGTTTTGGCTATTTTATGCAAAACACAGAGTTAATATAGCTTATTAAAGATTTGTGGCGAGTGTTAGTTCAACAGGAATACTGTTGGGCCATCTGCAAAAAGGCCTGGGGATGGCTTGGACCTACCTTCTCGCTCCGACTATCCCCTCGTTAGCTCCCTCACTGTACTCACAGCATTGCAGAGCTGTGTGAACAGAAGGAGCAGCCAGCATGACTATGGTTCCAAAATGGAGACGACACTTCTGATGCTCTGCCACCTCTGCCAAATGAAGACCACCTCTTAGGCCTGTGGCACTAATAAACTTTTAACCAGGTCACAAAACTAATGATGTCAGATATCCAAAACAGATGCAAAGAAAAGGTCAGGCTATTATTCTATAGTATCAGTATCAACAAAAATCACCATCAAAATGGCTCTGACTGGTACAAAAAGGAGTTATGGTAAATTGTCAAAACTTTGGTGTAACAATACCAATGCTGATGTCTTGTTAAGACAATCAGTTTATTTCGCTTGGTGTTAAGAGAAAACCCCAAGTACAGGGGCTTGGTTTCTCTGTTCTGCCACTCAGCTTGTGACAGGCAACCCATGCTGACTTAGGCACAGCAGGGCAGGAGCAAGGAACCATTGCAGTGGTGATCAAAGCCCTGAGGCAGTGTCACCAAAGGTGCCTACCATGTGGGATGTAATAGCAAAACCACTTCCCAGTCACTGTATGAAATTGAGCCAACATATAAATTTCATAGTTATATGTTTTGTTTTTTTCAAAAATCCCATTTGCTACTTGCCTGAATCTACACAAACCTCATGTCTACTGGAAATTAATACTGGGTGCAAGTTTTAAAAGCTTGCTCCTTGACTTTCTTATAAAAATACAAAATCTTCAGGGGCGTAAGCAGTTCAGTAGCCGCTGGGAGCTCCCACAGCTCCAGGTCAGCCCTCACTCCATGTAGTTGCAGCCACCCCGCCTTTACTAGCACCTCTGGCTGGCAGCAGCAGGACCCACATCCAGGAAGAGGGCCAGCTGCATCAGAGTGCAAACGAGACACAACACTGAATACACAGGCTGGCAAGGAAGGGTGCGGGAGAGAGGTCATGGCCACTAGAGCTCCAGCCGCCCTGAAGGAAGGAAAGAACATTATTCCCCATTTGCTGTGGCATCCTGTTTCTAAAACAGGTGTCAATCAACACTTAAAATACAACCCTAAGGTTCCATTTTAACACCAAAGTGTGTGGGAAGATACAGTGTTGCCCCTCGCACAATGACCAGATGTAGTTTGCTGCTACAACTGAATGCCAACAGGTCACATTCAGTTCTTCCTGAAGCAGAAGTTAGCCTGAAAGGGGCCAGTGAAAACTCCTTACAACAAATCCCAGAAGGCAGGGGATTTTTTTCACAAGCCAGTTATGTGGTAACCTTGTCAATCTTCGAGATTCCATTGCAATAAAGCACCAAGGTTAACTCAAGGTTGCTGTAAGTGGAGTTTCACTGCAGCTAAGTGCTGAAAACAACATGCTCATGGGCTCTCACAGACAGTGCAAGGATGGATGTCGGGGGCAGCCAGGCTGTGACCAAGCCAAGCACTCATCCAAGCACCTCTCTGAACGCAGTTCACCTGCACAGGCAGAAGCAAACACTTCTGCCTCCCAAGTGCACAGACTCGACGGTGCCACATACTGGCTGTCATTGCAGTTCAGGGAAGTGTGGTATGATGGCGAGTGGATGTCTCAGCCGTGATAATGAACTCACCTCTGGGAAGGAGAGCTACTGCTTCACGGCCATAGCACACACACATGGAAAGGCTCAGAGCAATGGGTGGAGACAAGCTTTGCTCTCAACACCCATGGTGCCAACCCTTCCACGCTTCTGCCAAGGCACGGAGCCCACCCGGCACTGTACCATCACCAAAACAGCAGTTGGCTGACTCTTGGCATTTCTGTTACAGGTATTCCTCTCCACAGCTGTTTAATCAAGTACATTAACCATTTAAAAAAAAAAAAAAATCAGGTCCCTATGTTTAAGGCCAGAGTCTCCTCCATGTTGCTGGCACTTAAGACTGCAAACCTGTGTGGTTGTGGTATAAAATAGAAAAGTGTCCATACAGCTGTCCAAAAAGAAGTGAAACAGTTGCTACACTGAGCATTAAAAAAAAAAAAAAAAACCAAACCATGTGGGACTTTTATAAAACAACTTCCAATGGGATCCCCGTAAGGGACAGACTCATTGGACCCACCACCTCCCTCCAACAGGCAGCAGTTTGAATGCATACTCAGATGGCAATTAAGCCTCCACTAGGTACAATGGGAAATACCAGAAACACTCTCAAAAGTTGTTAAAATATCACATAAAAGAGACAAGGAACAGCGAGAAAACATCTAAGAAAAGCAGGCTGCGATACAAGCATTGTTAAGAAGGCTCAGAAGTGCATTAGTTCTGGTGAGAGATATATGAGCAGCAGCTCTTACGGGATGCAGAACCCATTCTGTAACTATGGGCTGTCCATATACTGTCGTACTCAGAGTCTTCCGACAGGTCTGAGGGCTCCAAACGAGAAAGGCTACTGCGACGACCCAAGGAGTCTAGACTTGATTGGTCGTCATCAGCCAAGACGTGATTATGCATCAGGTCAGTGCCTTGCCATGCTAAGACGGGATGAAGTGACAGGTGCGACAGGCAGAGGGGGATGAGGAGAGACGGACAGGAAGAGCCACAACCAAAACATGGAACAAAAGCAAAAGGTGATGGGAAGAGAAGGGAAAGAGAAAATACTGTTAAAAAAACAGCAATAATGTTTGCTTCTCCTTATTTATGGCTGTGTTTTATAATGAACTTAGCACAACCCTCAGAACAAAATTTGTTTCAATAAGCCTAAATTATATTGTTTCAAATGGCTTCTTTGCAGAGATATCTACATAGTCTTTACCTAGAAAAAGTCTACACGTTACGTTCATGTCCAAAACATGATTCTATGAACTCTTGGCAATTAACTAATTCTCTTTACAATCTCATATAATTTATAAAAAGATATGATTTGTGCAGCTAATTATTTCCTATTCTAAAAATGATATAAATGCAAAATAATTTCATAAGATTTTTTACTTCAGTTATTCTTTGCCAAGACTAACACACATAAGCAGCAGGGGCCCACACTTACCTTATCAGTCTACAACCTTGCCCCAGTATGAAAGTTTCAGCATGGAGAAAGGGACAGAATGGGCTCCTAGCTCCTACCCCTGCTTACAGGGCTGGCAGGAGCTCAGCCCCAGGCACAGAGTCTGTTCACAGTATCAGCTCCCCTGGCGTAGACCTTTATCATCAGGAAAACAGGTGTAAACTGGCAATGCCACTGCTGAAAGGAGGATGACAAGAGGCAGTGGTAACGGATGGGGCAGAAGTAACTTCACAGGTGCTTGGCAGCATGAGCAGGAGCTGGCTAGGCAGCTGAGTGGGCATGCAGAGTGCATGGGGTTCCCTCAGGGAGACCCTACAGGGAAGCCTCAGCAGTCAAAATGAACTGTGTTCCAAGTCTGTGAGGCCCATTCCTTCTTTGAGACAGAAACCAATGCCAAATATGCTTGATCTGTAAAGCCTTCTTGGTATTCAATGTGCACTGAACAGTGGAGCTTTTGGTAATATTTAGTATCATTCTATAACTGTTTTTGCTAGGCATTTATTGTAGAAAAGAGTTCACTGTGAACCCATTTCCAAAAGCTGTAATCAAGGGTGTCATCTATCCAGCACAAAACATGCACATAGCCCATCGTTGCTACTCTTTCAGAATGCCAGAGTGCCATGACTCTGAGGCCCCAGGTATAGGGTGGGACCCAAAATAACAACTTAAAGAAAAACTCAGTAAGTGACCACTATTTTTCTTGCATGGAAGGAATGGAAGTACAAACATGGGTCAGTAGAAAAGAAAGGGCTCTGCACAAACTACAGGCTGCCCTACCCAAGCAGCTGAAGCAGGAAGCCACAGCTCATCCTGGGGCACTCTGTCTTTCGCCAGGAGGGAACACAGCCTGTGCTGAGACATGCAGGGAGCTCATGGACCTTCTCAGTTCACCTGAGACTATGGTGGGGGGGTGTCCCCCAGTTCATGTCAAACACTTCAAAGTAAGGTGGCCAAATTAAAACCACAAATTCAAAATCCATGAAATCAATGATGACATTTACAGCCTATTACAACACAATCATCATCAAATAATGAAAATGTAACACTTTAATTATCACAATTGCATTATAAATTACTGCTCAGCCACTGTGATATGCACTCTATGGCTTGCTAGGGTACCTGGGCCTTTCCGTGTTTCTTCTACTCTGCTGACCAAAGACCACAACAGGTTCTTTCCCCAGAGATAGCAGGGACAAAAAAGGACCTTGCTGACCCTTAGCAAAAATTCTTAGTGTCACAGGCAGAAGACAGTGCAATGCTGGAAAAATACTGGAAGTGGAAAAAGAAGTTTCTAACCAATCACAAATTCTACCTGGGCTTAGCCTATTAGCTGCAGGTTGTCAAAGATGCTGGTACTTTACAAAGCTGAAGTGGCTTAAGCCCTTTCCCCACCATGCCTGTCTTTTTAAGGCTGCTAAGACATGAAACTGAGCTACCACCTTGTAGGCAATAAAGGAAGAGGTGAAATATGTCTCTCTGAAAGATGGGAGAGAGAAGTCACAGGCATGAGAGCAACTGCTACTAGTTTCTATGCCAACCAGCCAGCTAAAAAAAAACAAAAACAAAAACAAGAGTATGACAGAAAGACAACTCTGGCACCCATCTGCCCAGCAGTCCCCTGGGGTTGCAGGTGCCAGCAAATGAGGAGTGACCTTCAAGTCAGGCAGGCAGTGCTCCCAGATGCTGCTTTACTGTGCCCCCTCCAACTGGGGGATTAACAGAAGCCAGTGGAATCTGTCAAAGAAATTAGTCTTTATTCATAAATATTAAAAACAAAATAAAAATTTTAAAGTAGACAGGAACTTGGCTCTAGATTTATATTTTAGATGATTCTAATATTTTCTTTTTAAATCCAGTATCATCAATGAACAACTAAAATAAATGAAGTAAATTTCAATTGCCTTCTTCATATAGCCCTCTAGGTAAAAGCATCAATAAAGGCTGGAGGCCCTTATAGTGTACCTCTATCCAGAACACTACACTGTTATTCTGCCCATGGGTCAGAGCCTTTTCAAATGATAGGACCTGGGGCACAGAACTGTATCACTTGCTAAGCTCCTGAAATCTCACTCCCTAAGACCAGCTCAGGTCTACAGAACAGATGCCTATAGACTGTGACCTCACACAGGTTGACACTTACTTGAATTGAGTGTCTGCCGTGTCTTTGCACTTGTGCAGTAAGCTTCGATAACTTTTAGAATCTGGGCATCTTCTTCCAGAGCAGCTGTGCCTGTTGAGAGACACAAACCCATTACTTACCAGACATACATCCCAGAGCCATGCCCTACTAGCTCACCACAAACTGCCTAGACAAAAGCAAACTCAAAGACTCAACTGACCAAGGCACCTCAGATGACCCCTTCATTTTCTTGTTAGGCAACAGTTCTCTAAATACCTAAAAATAGAGCTGGAGGAATAGCACAGCCATCAAAGGCTAAGGCTAACAACCAAAGCGTTAAATACTTAAAAATAGGCATATTCAAGAGTCTCAGTTTTTTGAAAAATTTTTCTACCCACAATGTACCTGGCAAAGAATTAATATCATAATTCTGGAAAGTTATTAATCCCTAAGGAAAGCAGTGTCTACCACCATAAATTGAAAAAGAGCAAGAGACAGGTATAAGCAATGCACAGAAGACAACAGCAGCAGTAAAAATGATGTTAAGTCTCATGAAAACAGGAAGTGATGATCAGAGTCAAGCACCCCAGTTTCACAGACTGGCCCTCAACACAGGGTGGACAGGAGAGCCAACCTCACCCAGCTCTGAGTAGTAAAAACAGGAACCTTCTGGAAAGGCATTGACTCATAGGCCTCAAAAGGAGGTATCCCTTCAGACCTAGGGACTCTTACTTAGAAATTAAGATAAGAAACTCACCAGGCCCAAGCTTAAAGGTGCCTCAAATGTGGCCATCTGAGAGGCCAGAAGAACATGTCAAGGCAGTGGGACCAGACACAGTCCCTCATACCCACAATGCTCAGGAAGGAAGGCATGTATGGGGTAAACTATTTTTTTAATTGTTTTCTTTTTCTGGTTCTTTCTTAAGGTATGTATGTATAAATATATATATATATATATATATTCACATACTCTAATAACATAGAAGGTGGCTGAAATTCTTATAGCTGTATAATAATTAAGTCTCAAGAACTTTTTTTCAGACAGGGTCTCACTATGTAAGACCAGTCTGGTTTGGAACTCACAGAGATCTGCCTGCCTCTGCCTCTCAGGTGCTAGGATTAAAGCCATGCCCACCACACCCAGCTCTCAATAACATTTTAAGGGAATAAGTCATCTATGTAGAACAAGCCAAATATTCATTACTAGACTGGAATCAATAGCCAACATGAGGATGACACCATTGCTATATGGTGTGGACTATTATACAGATTATAAAAACTCCCAGGATTCCAAACTTAATACAACTTACACAAATACAGAAACTTTAGAGAACTGAGGTTTGTTGAGCACCAGCCGGGCAACAAGGTGCTGTTGACTCAGGGATGCGAACATAGCACTTCTTCAACCCTTGGCCTTCCATCCTGACCCTAACCTACTGGAACTTCTGGGTGAGGATGCAGACACTAGCCTCTCCTCTAAGTTCTAAGGACACACAATTTTCGGTCAGCCTCTCCAAGCACCAGAAGCATGGATCCACCATGCATCTGATACTGCCTCTTAGCCTGTGTCTCCCACACACAGGCCCAGCTGAGGCTGGCCCCTCACAGTCCTTCATAGCCCACCTGCTGGGCTGTAACTCACAGTGGGGCACTGCTGCTGTCTGTGTCTGTCAATCTCAACAGGCTGCAGGATATCGCACAGCATTTGATCTCCACTACCAGGCACTAGCAGCATAGGCACTTGGCTGTGACAAGTGAACCATCTTCAGACTTTGATACATGTGACCTGGGGCAAATCCCACCTACCCAAGAACTATACTGTGGACTTGGTCTTCGATGCTTGTGTTCCCTACTGTAGTATCCCTCACCTGGACACAAAGCAGTAGCCAAAAGTTTGCCAACCACTTGAAGACCTGACCAGCAGTTGGTCCCCGGACTCCACAATGTGAGTCCCATAGAAGATGCATGGCAAATACTTGTTCAGTCAGGGCTACGAGACGTACTTGAGTCTAGTCCTCACCTCCCCTTATAGTCATGAAATGACAGTGAGTGAGAGGCATAGTGGGTCTAACTCAGGTTACAGTTCTGATGGGTGGAGCAAAGGCAATAGGAAATCATAGCACCTCAGAGGTGTGAACTGTATCCTTCATGGGCCTGTGAATGCGGCTGGAAGAGAAGGTGGCACCCCCAGTCTAGAGGGCAGGCCAGGCACTGGCTGGATGGCTGGGTGGGGAATGGATACATATGAGGGCTCCATGCTGCCTGCCACCTAGATAACTGTGCTTGCCTGGTCATCACCATCTCAAGATGCAGGCCTTGATCTCTCTGAAGCTACAGTTAGGCCACTGTGAGAATGACTTTTATTAATGGACATAATCTGGACTAAGAACTTTTAATTAACCCTAGCAAAGCCATGTTCTTGGGTCTGATGACCCAGGCTCTCCTTGGCAACCAGTCTGGTAGTCCAGCAAAAAGATAATGAACGAATGTGGGTATGCTTGAGAATTAACATACCAAAGCACTGCAAACAGTGTGCCCCCCCATCAGACACAATGGAGGTTTGGAAAAATGTGACCCTTGGAGGAAAGTGAACTAGGGATGAAAAGACCAGATGGTCTGTTACGATTAAGGGTGTAGCCCAACTTGAACTTGTATTTCCCCAAATGAAGGTGGAGAAACCATTCTGAATAAATTATGGGGGGACACAGTGAAAGAAACAGGGTTCCAGAGGCAGTTCCTTGGGCACAGGGTGAGGACACAGACAGCTCCATGTGCACAGGTTGAGGACATGAGAGACCCATGGGTACAGTTTTGGGAGACAGACGGTTCTAATAGCTAAGGGAACTAGTGTCCTCTGAGTTAAAGTTCAAAAACTTAAGAGTCAGTCTTATTTGTTCAGGTGATTATGACATTGGTGTAATAAATGCCACAGACGACTAACCTTCCCTCCACCATGGAAGCATGAGGAGGCCATGCCCCGCCCCCCATTTCCCCACATACTGTGGATGCTCTTTCCATCATGTCCTCCCCACATACTCCACAGATACTCAGTCATACTCTCCCCATGTGCACGGCAGATACTCACTCTTTCGTAAGGCAAACTCCTCGTCTGAAGGCTTCCGTTCAGGTTTGCGCTTCGGTAGCAGCTTTTTCATTGTCTTGGGACTCTTACTAAGGTCCTAGGGAAACACCAAGGGCAGAGCTCACTAACAGACTTCAGAGCCGTGTCATTAGTGCATCAGAAAGACTGCTACAGAAGTGGAGTGTAGCAAACAGTGTGGCCACCCACACATACTTCACCAGCTCTCTGCCAGCTGCCAATGTTAATCTAAACCCAAGAGCTAAGAGGGTACTTCACATTCTGCTTCCCACAACACACAGAAGCCTCTAGTGCCAAAGACAAAAGGCCCAGGTGTGAAATACCACAACCTGGGCAGGGCTGACCTTTTTGGTGTGGACCCACCTGGTACTAGAAAGAATGAAGAGAAATAAAGCTATTTTAAAAGAACAGGAAGTAAAGTTTCCTTTAGGAAAACATTCAAAGACCCAAGGGTAAAAGCAAAGAGGGCAGAGAATCCATGGCTAAGCACAGAGGAGTGGTGATGGGACTTGGTGGATGCTTTGGAATGGGCCTGTGTGTACACTAAAGCTGTCCAGATATCATCTTACCACCTTTCTTTTAAAGTGAAAAGGAAACAAAAGCACAGCAGGTCAACTGTCAGCACATCAGAGCTGACAGCAGAATTGGCTGGCTCCATATGACAGCAGTTACAGAGCTGAGGCTCTTCTAGGGTGGAGCAGACAGGGCATGGCACAACGGACTTAGCTTTTACAGTTACCTGTTTTGCTTTGTTTTATTTTGAAACAGGGTCTCATGTAGCCCAGGCTGGCCTCAAACTTTAAATGTAGCCAAGGATGACCTTGAACTCTTAACCCTCCTGCCTCTACTTCCAGAGTGCTGGGATTACAGGCACTGACCACCAGGCTTTTATAAATATGCCTTTAAAACCTTTTTTGGTAAAGATAAACACTTTAAAAAGAAATAGAGTAGAAATCAGTTTCCAAACAATCACAGTGTGTACTTGACAGGTTGACTAACTCAAAGGAACAGTCAGGAATACCCCTCTGAACACAGTAGCTCCTGCCCAAAGGGACCCTGTGCATGCAGGTTCGAAGCAGACCCAGCCACACTCACCATCACACTCTACTCTCTCTCACACGCAGCCATGCTCACACATAGGTAACTTGCTGCTCACACTCACTCCAAAGCTGAGCCTCCTTGGGTGAAAGCAGAGTTAGGTGAAACGCATGAAACTGCTAACCCTTCTGTGGAGAAGGGAAGTGTGCTGTGGCTGTGCTTAGTGCGCATGAGAGGATGGAAGCAGGTGGCAGGTGGCTGCACTGTGACTGCTGCCAGGTCAAATTGCTGCCTTAATAACTCCTTATTTTCACTGGTAAGCCTGCTCTTCACCTCAGACAGCCTCTGATTCCTGTGCAAGTCTCAGGCAAAGGAGAACAATATTCAGAGGTAAGGTGAGGCAAGTTCATTAGCACCTTGGGCTCAGTGCCTCCTTGACTCTACCCCATCAAGTACAAGTACTGCATACACAGGCCCATTCTGTTAAACGGTGCCTCCCAGCTCTCCAGTAGAAGGAAATGACAGGGAATCAGGACAGATTCTCTTCACATTTTAAGAAGTTAATGCCAGTCTTTATGTCATAAACAGAAAAACAAGACTTTTGTTGCTGAATTCACTGGACAGACAAGGGGAACTAAGTACAGGATAGCATATATGCATGCTCATTGTCGCTGGCAGTTTGAATGGCCAAAAGACCTCACCTCCTTGTAGCAGAGAGCAGCTGAGGGTCGAAGGGGAGGTGCAGGCCGCAGGCAACTCAGGCTCCAAGGCTTGGGGGTCTTCGGAGGCTCCAGGGGTCCCCAGCTGATGGTTGTGTGAGGGGTGCCATGGTGAGAGGGGTGGGGGAGAGTGTGGTAGGCAGGCGTCAGTGCCACAGGCTTGCTGTCCGCGTGCTTGCTGGATGGAGTGATAGGATGGGAGGGGAGCTGCCAGGCACAAAAAGCAAGAGCAAAGACAGCATGAGATGGGCGAGGCCACTACGGAAGGACCCTAACCACACAGCTTCACCCCGCGCTCTATCATGCTCCCAGGAAAGGGAGTCCAGTAGTGCATTTCTGGGTGACACAAGGCTGCTCACATCCTCCACTTTAAGTCACAGTCTTGCTTGGGCTTAGAGACCCACACTCTCCGCAGGCCACAGCTGCCATGTAGTAGTGTGTGAGAAAAGGCCCATCTGGTACAAACATTCCCAGTTCACTAAGTAATAGGCACCCCTGACTGGACTGTGATGATGGGAGAAGGACATTCTCCCCAAGCACATGTTACCACTTGGTATGTGACAGGAATGGGGATAAACTAAGGGCCTGTGCTGAGAGGGGAAAGAGGGATAAGGAAGGAACAGTTTTCTTGGTGCATAGCAGCCAGGCCTCTCCCTTCTATGGCCCTTTCATGTTTAAAGGGCAAACTCAGCTGCCACAGAGCCCTGCGAAGACAGGAATATGGACCATCTGGCCCTTTACAAAAGGATGTTAATCTCTGGAACAAAGATCACTTTCTCTTTAAAAACCCAGCTTGTTTTAATAAAAACAAAGTTATTCAAAATCTGATTCTTCAGTGGGGCATGTTATTAATAAGTTTTGTATTCCTGGAAAAACCCAAAACAGTCCACACTGACAATGAAATGAAACTTAAAACAGGCAGCACTCAAAATGAGATCCTGGTTCCCATGCCACTGACACAAACAAGGCACAACTAACAGGAGGAAGCTGAGTAGAGCTGAAACCCTAGGTGAGGCCAGCACCCCAAGGGCATGAAGGCCAGCACCAGAGCTCAAGAGCAGAACCAAAAGCCCCATATCATCCCCAAGTCTCTGGTTCACAGCATGCTGTACACTACATGGATATAAAACAAGCTTTCTCAAACCAAGTAACTTACAAATGGAGAAAGCTATGTACTGACCCCTTTTGCAATAATGTAGTAATAATTTAACTTTGAATTATTTCTTCTGTCAGGAGAAATGCTCAGTGTTAAAATGGGGGTATGATTTAGGTTGAACAAAGCTGGATCCAGGGATAAGATGCATAGATGTCCCCAAGACACTCCCAAAAATGTCAGCACTTCACATACTGGCACATGAGGCATGGCACCTTCTCCCGACCAGGCCTCCACAGCTCCCTGTTGAAGAATGCCTTCTGGCTTCTATCACTTGACATGAAACCCAACACTGAGGTGCCAGACTCAAGTACATGCAAAATCGGCTTGAAAAGAGACGTTATAAAGCCTGGTTTCAAGTTATTACTGACAATCAGAATGAAAAGGCACTTCACTGCTCTGTATACACTCACTCAGGCACCTATGTCCCTAGGATAACTTAACTCTAAAAAATTTAAGTGGTTTTTAATTATTTTGGCAGTGCTGGGATCTATCCCATGGCCTTGCACATTACACAGATGTTCTACAACTGAGCTACATTCCCAGATCCACAGCCTTCTTTCAGGACTTTTTTATGTAAGGAGAAGTTATGGAGTGCAGCCATGTAGACTGAAATGTTAGCTAACACAGCAAGGAATCTGAACCTCCAACTGCTAAGAGAAGAGATCAAAAAACTGAACCCTGACATGGTAAAACATCAGGGTGAAGAACAGTTAAGTGGACAGTGACAGCACAACAGGAGCTGTGCTCTTAAGTAACAACAACCACTCTACACGAAGGCTATTAAAAGAAATTAATACATGGCAGAAACTACCCTGAGTCCCTGAAAGATGGGAGGAACTGCATCAGCAAAATTCATTTTTGAAAGGTTTTTCCAGGTTTTCAATAAAGATGTTTAAGTGCTAAAATAATTCAATATTAATTTCTTAAGGAGAAACACCAGTAGAGAAGTTTTAACATTGGTGTTGATCTATTTTGAAATATATTATCTCCAAAAAACCAAAGTGCTACTGACCTTTTTATTAAGTGAAAAACAAATGAATTTCTTAAAATCAAAGTCAGTCAGCACTTGCACCAGAATGCCTTTTCATCACTATCACTTCTCCTTTGATTTTTTGCTTTTTAATGAAATATAAAGAGCTAAAACTCTCATAAAAACCATCTACAGGGCTAGTGGCTCCTGGGGGTGCAGTGGGAACCCATAAGTTAGGCTTCTAAAGCAGCTCTGAACACAGCACTGCCCCAGCATCACTGAGCTCACGAGCATACACAACAGAGGGCATCTTAAGACAGTGCCTGCTGGGTGGCTGGCTCCGAGATGGACCAGACACTGGCAGGGAGTAAGAGGCAGGACTTAGGGCCCCCGCTGACAGCCCCAACACAGGACATGACCAAAGAAGCCCGAGAGACGCAGCATGCAAGCCCTTACAGTGTGAGATGGCACAGAGTGGGGCTTGATGGTGGGGTTGCTCACAGACGTAACCTTCGTCTGCTTCTGCAGGTGGTCTACCCACTCATGTAGGTCCTGCTGGTTGTTGCAAGATACCAGTATCCGCTCAATCATGCTCCCTAGAAAGGAGGAAGTAGAACATGTGAGTAAATGTGTACACACGTGTACACTCACACACACACACACACACACACACACACACACACCCAGAAGCAGAGAAACATGCATCATCCCCTGAAATATGCAAGCAAGGCTCTGTACACAAAGACAAGCTGTCTTTCCTCACCATGACATAGTATTTGCACAAGCTTGTAACCATCACCTGATATTTCAAATGCATTCCTATGGTTTTCACTGTCCTCAAGCTTTGTGATTGTCATTCCGGTCGTTGGTAGCTTTCCCTAAAAAACACCCCCCACCCAATACAATTAGTGCTCTTCTAGTACAGAAGGTACCATTATTAACATAGGTATTAAAGTGACTTTAAAAATGGCAGAGGACTGTGTACCTAAAGAGTTATTTTGCTTGTAGTAGTACATATATAATGCTTTTTTAAAAATTTACCTGAGAAATCATAACAACAAATGAAGAGCCTGAACTGGCAAAATGGCAGACTACAATAGAACAAGACTTTCACTCAGCAAGTCATTCTATAAACATGAGACACACAACCACTACACTCATGGTAAATCCAGAGTGCCCAGCAGCCATTTCAAAGGACACATTTATAGAAGTACATATCTACCTTACAAAGAGGAAGTTTCCAGTTTGAAGAAGGCTAAAACAGTGAGAAGCTGAGGCAAGAACACACATTATCAAAGTGGCACTGTACTGTACCAAGCAGAAAACATACAGCTATGTTAAGTGCCACATGGTATGAAATGGTGGGCAACTCATTCTCTGTGAAAATGGAGGAATCCCCAACTGAGCAGGAAATGTCAGCTGAGAAACCAGAAGGGGACAAAGCTTATCACTCAAATAAAGCAGAACTAGCACCAAATCACTTTCTCCAGGCCACATCAACTGTGACACTTGGCCACAAGGCCAAATCTTTACCAAGTCTATGGGTGTTCAGGGCAATGTAAGAACCTAGCAGGCATCCCTCATACGAAGAAATGGAGGCCAGAGAGACTGCCAATGTCCACCATGCCTACCTAGACAGTTTTCTCACTCTATGTCCCACTTAGAGCAAAGAATCGTCCAGTCCAAACATCCAGGAGCAAGGCTGAGAACCCAGCAGACTGCCCAGCACTTGTGTGGCCAAGTGCATCTAAAAAGTACTATAGACTATGCTCCTTCCCAAGACTCAGAACACACACAGGCTTCTTCAACACAGAAACTAATGCTGCATACCCAGGCTTTTCCTAGTGCAGCTTGCTCTCTTCAGCTTGCAGAACCTTATTACAGCAGCTGGAGCCAACAGTCCCAAAGCCAGTGGAGATTTTTGTTGTTTTTTCACTTGAGACAACTCTCATTATACAGCCCTGGAGGGTCTAAAAATCTCAATTTTCCTGCGTTGGCCTCCCAAGTACTGGGGCTGCAGGTATGTACCAGGGCCCCACTTGGAAGTCAGTGTTCTACCTGCAGAAATGAACATTGAGGATGCACAGACAGGGGCTAACTACTTTTAGAATGTTCCCAGTAAACTGTCAAGAGTGGGAAGCCAGGATCCTGCTGGTGGGACAATGACTCCAGGGGCATGCCATGGCAATAGCAGACAATCTTACACAAGTGCCAGACTAGATGGTCACTTCTTCCTCTAAGACTAGGGTAGGGCCCTTCCACCAGGATGAGCCTCTGCAGGTATAAAATGGAGCCTGAAAACAGGTTCATTGGCATCTATGAATAAGGGGAGCTACCTACCACTTTGGCTACCTCAGCCACTTTAGCCTTGCCTTAGGGGCAGCCTTACAAACAAAGGAATGAAAGCATTAAGTTTCTGAGTTTGTTCATACATATTTGAGTTGCCAAATGTAAAGGCTCCTTTCGGAACAAGCCCTCCTGGGGGCAGATCAAGCCTTCTGTGGAATTGAACAAGCCATGACTGCTTTTCATGCAGAATTCTGAGTATTTTTCTCTCAGGATTCTTTGCCACTCAGAAGAAACAAAGTAGCGACTTCCTATAGTAGCACCTGGAGACTGGCCAATTCTCAAGAAAGGATGCCGAGGGCATCTCCAGATACTATTTGATACCACCACTGACAAAAAAAGCCCCCTCACATTTTCTCTAAAATCAGCTCTCAAATTTTCCCAAAGAAATGGTTAAACTAACAGGTTAAATGATCAGGTTTCATACCCAATGTATGCAGGGATGCTCTACCCTAACAATAGATCATAGTCTACACCAGTCCAAGGAGTCCACAGCAACTTGTGGAGCCCATGCTCTGCACAATATAAAATGAAGCCCCAGGGAAGCAGTATATTTTGCACAAGATGATACAGTCAGTCAAATGGATGACAGTCACTCCACAAGTCACACTTCTTTCCTTGCTGTCTGCTCAGAGTATGTTTCAGAGTCACATCAAAACACAACAGGAGCTGTGTGCCCATATCTGAATACATGGGCCTAACATGTAACTCCACTCTCAATACATACACAGGTGTGTCTAGAATGAATACAGAAGTTCAAAGCCAGCCTAAAAACAATTCTCACAGCTACCATGAATAAGAAAACACCAAATTAACTTTGTTTTACCTGGTAAATGAAACCGCTCATCCTGGACTGGCAGACATTAGCAAGAGATTTGGGAAGAGTAGAAGGTATCTTTCATTCTTTTCCTAATATTAAAGAAAAAAATAAACACAAACTTCTTACAAATGTGTACCCAATACTTTATAATAGACCCCATGAAACCTCACACTGTATTTCTTGTTAAGGATTTCTAGAAAATTTGCATTAGCTAAATTAAATGGAAACAAAATATAACCAATTCTATAATAAATTTTAACACAGTAGAGAACTTTAACCAATACAAGGTGACCACAGACCACTAAATTCTTCAAAACAAAAAGGTAATTAAATCAAGAATCCTTGGTTCACAATCTGCCATGAAACATCTTTGAACACTACTTGGTCATTTTCTGTTGGTAGTCCAGAGAAAAGGAACTCAGAAAATTCTGAGAGGCACAGTTAGGTTCTTCAAGCTGAAGGACAGACAGGACAAAATGTTAAGTAAATGTTCTCCATCTAAGAGGCCTTTCCTGATTTATATGGGAAACTTAAAAAACCTGTCTTATGCATTAAAAAATAATTTCCTTCAAGGGAACAAAAGCTAAAGAAACCATATCTAAAAGGCAAAAGTCGCTAAGAATCTAAAAGGAAACACAGAAACAGGCAGGAGTCCTTCAGCATTTAACCCATTGCCTTAAGATAAGGAATAAATATAGGAAACAGTTTTCCCAAGCATGCTCTTCGCAATGCCACACCTATACAAATGGCTTTAGTTTGGGCAGGGGAGGGGACAAACTGGGGGCTGCTGTCTATATCCCAAAGAAGTCACTGAAATAGGGTTGGAGCGATGGCTCAGTCAGTGGTAAAGAGCACCGGCTGCTCATGCAGACAACCCAGAACCCAAACGGTAGCTAACAACCATCAGTAACTCCAATTCCAAGGGGGATTCAACACCCTCTTCTGATCTCTAAGGGCACTGCACACATGTGATGCACTTATATACATGTAGGCAAAACCCATATACATAAAATAAAAATTTTTATATTATATACATAAAAAAAATTTTTTTTCCCCCAAAGTTGCTGAAACAACCTGTCAGTTCTGTTGGAGACACACATTTTCTGGGAGCCATCATGAGCACAGGAAGTGCCAGGAGGCAGACATCTTCCCCTGAAGTCCTAACAACTCCAAACATTTTTGGAGTTATACCCACCATGTTACAAAGACTTAGCATCCTGGGAAACAGTTATCGAAAACAAAGTTTTAAATCACTTAAGAAACAAAGACTTCCTTAAAAGTCAGTGTGGTAAGTGAGGAAAATCACAATGTCTTATGGTACCCACACTACCATGTGGCAAAGCAAGAAAATCTCTTGGGGAGGAAGGGGCACACAGGGCAGGGTAACTTCAGCTGCTTTATTACTTTCCTAATAGCTGTATGTGGAAGGCTCCTCAGTGTGTGCCCCACACACTCATTACTTTTTTCAGAGATCAAATGAAGCTCAGTAAGAGACACTGTGATCCCATGGACATAACTCTATGAACTGTAAAACATAAACTGGTTAATCTTCACTGTGTAGGGATGTCACAAGAATATGGCTTGCTCTCTCTTAACAAACCCATAAGAAAACTGTGATTCCAGGAAGTTAAACACCAGATCACACACATGAAAGGAAAAGCCTCAGGCCCACTGAAAACACCAGGCTCTAGAAAATGAACCCTGACAAGACACCTGGAGCAGACAATGCACATCATGCTCGTCAAAGTCCTGAGTGCACACTACCTTCAAGTTCACAGGGACTTTGGTTTGAGCTGTTCCTGGGTGGATCTGAGCTGCTTAACAAGCCCAACTGCTCTGAGCTTTCTACCAATGCTTTTTACTATACCATCTCCAAGCTGTCAAGTATGAGACTCACATACACCCACCCTGTCAGCACATGCCATTCCTCTGGTGCTGCAATTCAAAACTTTAGAGTGGGACAGAGCTATCATGATGCTGGTGGGTCTCTGTACCTCGCTCCCTGCGCACTGAATCATGACCTGGGACATGTAAATGACATTGCCCAGCGTCTTAATGTCATCTCCCTCCCAGCTCCAGATGGACTCTGTCAGGATCTGCAGTTCGAGCTCTTTTCTTTTTCGTACTTCTTGACATTGGGCCTGTGGGACGGACACAGAACACAACCCTGTTTACAGACACAGAAGCTTCTAGAATTTTACACTTTGACCACACTACTCTTGCTCAAGACAATTATTGTTCTATACCTCCTGAGCAATGTATTTAATCATAGGGAATTAAAATTTTGCTGGAAAGCATGAAATCAAGTCAAGGAAAACAGAATGTCAAAGTGCTCTGGAACGCAAATTTTATAGCAGGTTTTGTCATGTTTAGAAACAAGCAGTGTATAGCAAGCAAGAAAACCCTTCTCTGTTTTGTTTTGTTTCCAAGACCATTCTGGCTTTGTTAGTGCCTGCCAACATGGAGGGCTGAGAAGAGGAAGAAGGGTATAAACAGTTAAGTGCTGCACACAGGCATGCATGACAAAAGCACAGCTGGTCAACATGACTAGAGAAGGGACTCACCAGCCTGTCTCCTGAGTAGCACTACCCAAGAGCCCTTGGATGGGGCGGGCCTTTAAACCACTATAGTGACTATAGCTTGAATTACGCTATGCCCTTTTTTCCCCCTTTTCTTCAACCTTTATTTTTTCT